TTTGAAGACGAAAATTGCTATTTACTCTATATTGCATTATTTTATTGGCAGCATTTTCTCAAATGGTTTCAAGCGCTCACTTTTTGGAAATAGCAAAACTTTGAGCGAAATACTATGTGCATTATTCGAGTATCTGCAGAAAATCGCTTTTCAATTTTCAAAGTCTATGTTGGAAGAAAACCAGTTTTTAAAGGGCTAGAATTGTGGCATCGATTCACTCAGATGCCTCAGCTGTGCGGTAATGATAAAGGTGCTTAATTATTCCATAATTACACAAGAATTGATCCTTAAACCACGAAAAGGTTAGTGCCACAATTGAACCTGAACCACGTTACACTAGGTTCGCAACCAGAAAGTGCCTTCAAATTGGCTGCGCTTTAATCAAAGGAAATAGTTATCAGATAGAAATTGCAGAAAATCGTACAGAATAAAATCTTCAAGAATTGATGAAATAATGCTTTCAAATACTCAAGACAGCACCTGTTCCCTTTCGAACTGCCAACTTTCAAAGTCTCGTAGTGTAACCTGTACAAATGACGTGACATAGTGTTGCTCTTCAGTACGTTGATATTTTTGGAGTAGGTCCAGAGCAAGATCTTTTAGTTCAGCCAAATTCAGCGCTTCACATTCACCAACCAATCTAGAAAGTTATTTAGATAAAAGACGCGTGTTTTTCAACTCTGCTCACTTGGCTAAATCATCCGGTTTACTCGGTAACGCAAGAGATGGCACAAATTTCTCCTTTTTTAGACGAAGATAAGCCAAAATGTGACGGAACGTTTTAGCGTCTCTGTCCAAATAGTAGTTGCCTCCCTGGAAAGTCACATTGAAAAAAGGGTTAAAGGGCCTTAAACTGCTAAATTCGTAGATTTTGGCTAACTCGTACCTTGTCTGTTGCTATTGGCTTCACAGTGCCTGGTTTAAACCATTCAGCGAGTTTTGACCGAGGATCGGCCAGCATATCTGTACGTCGGACCTAAAGAGAATCCAAATTTGAAGATGTTTCTTCATTATTTGGGTATATTCCGCTCTCAGGCAGCTGAATAATCGACAAGTCTTAGTTGAACGCCTGACTGCGCAACTAATCGCGTTGAAAGGGCGAGCACTTGTGTTGCTATTAACGTTTGAAGAAACAAGCTAAATGATACTTATTAGAGATGGTACGGTAACTTACTGTGTACTTCTTTCCCCCGACATTAATGTTCAGGATATCGTCGGCGTGGCGACCACGCGACATTAGATGAAAGCTCTAAAATTTGTGATCTTTTTCAAATATGATACATACATTTCAAGCAGAAAGCGCAAAAATTCGAATATTTTTGGTCATTTTAAACAATAAATGAATTACAAATATTACCTACCCGCTCCTCTGACATCGCTACTTTATCATAAGGGGGTCTGCTTGCGTTTTTATAACTAGTACAGCGCAATTATTTTAATAATAATACCTTTACGGAAGCGTATGTAGGACATTTTCGGATAAAGGACAGTCATCTAGATTAAGGAAACGGTCCTTTAGGTAGTCTTGACTGGAGCTTTTGAAAATAGCCAGTATGTGCTTTTCTATGGCCCAAGTGTTCCTTAAGTTTGCCTAATTATAATTTCTTAAAGTGCAAATTTTCAGAGTTTTACAAAGAACTTATTTTTTTCCTAATTTTAAAATTTCTGCCGGGCATTACTGAAAAGCGTTGTTGCACCAAATATCCAATTAAGAATTTATAATGAAAAATGTGACTAAACCTTTTTAGCTGCTTCAAGACGGAT